GAGAATGACAGGGATATTGTGAATAACTATTTAGAGGAGAGAAAACAAACAAAAATAATATTCTAAAACAGGAAGCACAGAGCTACTTTTCATAAGCAAGCTCCGTTTTATCTCCAGGCTCATCACGGAGTTATTAAACTGAAGTACCCATCATATGCTAGGCAAAAATACAAAAAAAAAAAAAAAAGGAGGGGTTGTTTTTGTTTTTGTTTTACACAAAAAGAAAGAGCATGTGCACCCTTCTGTAGATACGGAAGGAACTGGAAGTTATCCGTGGAATTTACAATGTGTTTCTAAACTGTACCCATTGTTCATACCCTTTTACCAAATGTTACAAACTCCAGTGCTTCCTTTGCCTGGGTGGCTTCCCCTCTGACAGGCTCTCCCTCCTCTCCTCTGCCCTGTCCTTCCTTCCCCGCCTTCACTCAGCCTAAGACTCTCCTCTTCCAAAGTCTGACTAGCTGGTGACCCAGAAAGACTGAAAGGCTGTGGCTAGAAAGGGAGAAGTGAGAGTCATGCATGAAGCTACAATGAACCCTAAATTTCCAGTCTCCCAGGACAGCTTGTTAGCCTCGGGAAATGCCACCAAGGACAATTAGGCACCCAGATAAAAGGAGGCTTCATTCATGCATCGTCTTGGGTTGAAGCCGACTAGCTTTGCATGGGTAGCAGCAGGGACAGCCCAGACCTGTCCATACAGAAGCATCACTACACACAGAAGCCATGGAGTCTGGATCAGAGGTTTCTTGTCACCTGCACCACGTCATACACCACGTGTTTTCATGGCATTCCTGGTGGTTGCTGAGGATGCTCACAACCTACCAAAGCCAACCCACCTGCCACCTGGCTGGATCACTGTGGTTCCTCACTTTCCCTAACGCTGCACTTGGAGCCAGCTCTAAGTGTTCTTCCTGCTCTTGCCTCTAGACATCCTGCAGAAACTAAGACATCAATTCCGGGAACCTTGAGGACTGCTCGGGGTGATATTAATGCTTCATTTCCTCTGTGTACAGCTTTCTCTTTTCCACTGGGACACAAATGCATCAGCCACTTTTTTTTTTTTAAGGAGAATCACCTGCTACTTCTTTTCTTCCTTCCTTTCTTCCTTTCTTCCTTCCTTCCTTCCTTCCTTCCTTCCTTCCTTCCTTCCTTCCTTCCTTATTTGCTTGGGTTTGAATTCCAAGTCTCAAATTTGCTAAGCAGGTGCTCTATTACTTAAGCCATGCCCCTAAGTTTTTCTTTTTACTTTACTCATTTTTCAGTGGTTATTAAGTATTTATTGGTCAGTGCCACTGACTCTTGTCGACAAGGTGAAATCTGTTCACCTGCATTGATTGTAAAACCCAGACAGTGATCAGCCCACACCAAACACACCATAAGCATTCAGGGACGAGGTGAGTCAGGGGGTAAGAGAGTTAGGTTTTGTATGAATCTGAGAAGACAAACAGAAGGCCAAAGAAGCAGTCTCCTAATGGAGATTAGGGGCTGGAACGAGCCTTTTGTCAACATTAGGCACCAAGGAAGTGCCAGGTGTTCTGAAAGGAATAGAGAGGGTGGGGAATTGGATGAAAGTTGGTCTGAGAAGGGGCTTGTCAGCAGGGAAACAGGAAATAGCTTCCCTGAGGACATGCCCCTGAGCTCAATGTGGCAAGAAAGAGCCCAACAACGGCATCCAAGCAAGGACGCCAGCCTCGTGTGGTATCACGTGACACTCCCAATACTGCACCCATCAACACGACCACAGCACAGGATGTCAGGGAGCTAGAGGGGAGACAGGACCACCACATTGCAAGTCCTAGACTTCTTAATGTGCCTTCACCCAGCCAAATACTAGGAGGGTCTCTGAGCCCTGGATGTTCAGGGTTCAGAATTAAATGGAGAAAAGAGCCTTTGTCTCTGCTCTTGAAGAGCTCACAGGCTAAGAGGACAGGACACAGTCTTCTGTCCTGCTTGCAATCTCACCTGTCCTGAGACCAGATGCAACTCTTAAAGGAAAGACTACTGTTTCTGTCCGTTTAGAACACACCACCCTGCACAAATCCCCACAGGCACAGCATGGCCCTGAGTGTCTCTACACCCCTGGGGTCCTTGTCTGTGAACCCTAACACCAGGGACAGCCCCATCTTTCCCCTTCCTTGTGGGCACTCTTCAGAGGATACAGCGATAGAAAGCCTTGCTGAATGCAAGCTGGGGTCTTCTTCACATTGTCTGCCTGGCGTCCTATCTGGAGGAGGCCATGCTGTCCCATAGCCTCTTCCCTCCTGGCGTTAACCTCTCTCCCTTGAGCTCATCTCCATGGTTTCCCATGTGTGGGACACGTGACCCATCCTCCTGTTCCCTGACCTTGAACCAGGGCCTCCCACCATGCCTGGCACACATTAACAGGTCAATAAATATTTCTGTGATAACAAATGGAAGCCAGGTCTCTCTTCTCATTTACCACCTGTGTTTTGAGCCTCTATCTTAGTGTCTGAGTCTTTGAACCCGGTTATTAATCCAGCCTAGAAACTGATTACACACACACACACACACACACACACACACACACACACACACACACACATTGCTGCTTTGCTGACTGGTGTGGTGTCCTTGTGTTTCTGCTCTGAGTTGATTGAAAATACCCATTCACCACAGCTTATCAGCCAGGGCACAGGCCCCTCTCCATGACCAGAGCAATGACCATGTATGCAATCCAATCATCGGACATCAATTTGGGCCATACTGTATGTCTGGTGCAGAGCTGTGAGTTCAGATTACAGAAGTGAAAAAGACAGCAACAACATGTAGAGATGTGTACGATAGCTAACATTGATGCTTTAATCCCACCTGGAAAGGCTCTGATGGAACATACTTTAAGAACCACAATCACAGTAGAGTTAGTGATAATAAAGTAATACTAAAAAGTATATTAGCTGGGGGTGGGAAGGTGGCTCAGTGGTAGAGTGCTTGCCTTGCATGTATGAGACCCTGGGCTCGATTCTTCAGCACTACATAGCAGAAAAAGCTGGAAGTAGCCTATAGTTCAAGTGGTAGAGTGCTAGCCTTGAGCTGAAGAGCTCAGGGAGAGCACCCAGGCCCAGAGTTCAAGCCCCACGACCAACAAAAAAGATTGTATTAGCTGGATACTGGTGACTCACTAGCTACTCAGGAAGCTGAGATGTGAGAATTACTGTTCAAAGCTGTCTAAGGCAAAAAAGTCCATGAGACTCTTATCTCCAGTTAACCAATTAAAAAAAAGCCCTCATAGTGTGAGGCCCTCAGTATCAGCACTTCAGTAAATACAAATAAATAAGTATATTAAGACATAAAAATAAACCTATAAATCCAAGCCACCAAAGACAATTTTTGTTCTGGCAGGGCTGAGGATGAAACCCAGGGCCACACACTTCCTTCACCACTTAACTACACTCCCAGCCCAAGATTTATCTTCTACTTATAGATCACATCGTTGATACTTTTTCAGAGTGGCCAACATCTATTATGCACCTGTACATGCATGCTCTGTGCTATGTGCTTTACTGAACACAGCAATACATTGCAAGGAGCATTGCGATTTGCAGGGAAGGGGCTACCATTTGCTTTTGGTTTTGCATGTGTCGAGTTTCAATGCTGGATAAACTACGCCAAGATGGAAAAGTTCAAAAGATAATTAAACCAGTTTAAAAGGCAAAGCAGCACTGGGACTGAAGCTGGGTTGCAGAGCCAATTTCCAAGAAGTAATTTCATCATCATAGAACATCAAAAGTGAATTCCACTTTCAGCTATGCAAATTCCAAAAGAATAATACCTCACATTTGCATAATGCTTGATGCTTTTCAAAGTGCTTTCAGTTATTAATCTACAGGAGGCTTTATTACCACCGGAAACATAAATTGAAATGCTGTTCAACTACATTATTTTTTCCCCCATTCTCCCCTCAAAAAACCAGAACCAACTAAATCCAAGTGCCTTTGATTGAGTGAGTAACTCTAATAAGTATAACAGACAAGGCTGAAGATGCACAAATGTAGCATATGTGCGGTCTTGAAGCTATAGACATCAGAGAGCCAGGCTTAAGAAAATCTGCTGTTGAATTATCAAAACCACAGGGGAGCAACTTGTAGTTCAAGTTTGAGGTTCTTTCAGAGCCTCAGGTTTTTGTGGGAGATTCTACCTTCTTAAGAATCTATGTCCTCCACCAGATATTGCACAATTAGATCTACCCCTTTGTCCTTACATCTGCCCAAATCCCTGTCAATAACTTCCCACAAAGAGGCCCATGTTTATAAAAAAGGCTTCTATGTTTGTATATGTGTGCAAGCATGTGTGCATGTGTGTGTGTATGTATGTAACAGTCCTGGGGCTTGAACTCAGGGCCTGAGCACTGACCTTTAGCTTTTCAGTTCAAAGCTCATGTATTAACCACTTGAGCCACACCTCCACTTCTAGCTATATTTTGGTGGGGGAAGGCTGGTTAATTGGACATAAGAATCTTATGGATTTTTCTTGGCCAGGTTGGCTTTGAACAACAGTATGCATAGCAGAGCCTATTGGATGGCTAGAATTACAGATGTGAGCCACCACACCAGCACCTAAGCTCTTTTTCTTTTTTTTTTTTTAATATAATTCAAGCATTTGAATCCATTATAAATCCAACACTGAGAGAGGATCTTCGAAAAATGAGTCTAGAAGATATGACAGGGAGAGGAGGAAATACTGCTCCTCGGACCTAATACCTTTCCAATTTGTTTCTCTTTCCATCTCTTTCAAACTTAATTACGTGGCGCCCTTCTCAAGCCGCTGAATCAGCAGCATTTCCTGACCCTCCAATCACATGCATTTTAGCAAAAGATTAACCTGGCTGTTTGCTTTTCATTCTGAAACCGTGTTAATACTCAACTCCCTCTAGATTAGAAAAAGAAGGCAAACACACTCCCGCGCAGCCCAGCTGGCACCAGCCAGGCTCCAGGGCTGGCATTTCTAGGGAAGTCACAGATACTGGGGCTGCTGGCACTTACCATTTCAGCAGAGCCAAGAGAACCACAGACAGGGCCAGTGTCACCATGGGACCACTCGCTTCCAATTTCAGAAACCCTAAGGTTTCCATTGTTCCCCTGAGCCCACAGGAGTTGGTCCTCCAGGGAAAAGAGGGGTTAATCCGCTGCCCTTACAGAAGCCTGGGTCTTTGGGAAGTAGAGGACCGAGTGAGCACCCAAGAACGTGTCATCCATCAACTGGGTCCAAAAAGAAGATATGTTCTTTCTCAGTGTCTCTTTATAAAGAGGAAGGAAGGAAGGGGGAGGGAAAAACAAAGGGTTTCAGGGTAAGGCAATGAATCAGCAACTATGTTCTTGGTGACTGTGATGTCAATAAACATTTATGTTAGCTTCCCTGTGAGGCGATAGCGTAGATGGGCTCCAGAGTCACTGAGAAACTGTGGCTCAAGCCATCGGCTGTTACTCTGACATGTAATCCCGCAAGAAAGACTCTCCTCCAAAGTATTCATCTATATAAACATAGTAGATCCTTGGTATCCGTGGGTTAATGGTATCAAGGAGACCACCACTGAAGAAAACCTATATTCGCAGGATGTGTAGAGTTCAGTCCTCTAAAATAGATCTATACCTTCTGTACGATAGGTCTGAGCATCCAAACTTGAAACCACATGCCACAGCCTACATTACAGAAGAGAGCAGGCTGGGCCTGCTGGGTTCTTCTGTGATGTGTAGAATAGCAGTTTTAAGGCTGAGTCCTGAGCTGCTCCAGTTCCAAAGTAAAGCAATAAGCTAGGCATCGGTGGCTCACACCTGTAATCCTACCTACTCAGGAGGGTGAGATCTGAGGATCATAGTTCAAAGCCATCCCAGGCAGAAAAGTCTATGGGACTCTTATCTCCAGTGGACCACCAAAAAGCCAGCCCTGAGTTAAAAAGCTAAGGGACAGAGCCTAGGCCCTGAGTTCAAGCCTCAATACTTTATAAAAGTAAAGCAATAGTTTTAACCTAAGTCATCCCACTTTTGAGGAGTATAAGCACCCAAAGAGAAAGACTTTACATTTTGTTTATGCAAGTGAATAGCCACTCTCTCTGTCAACTCATTAAGAGGAACAAACTGGCGGTTTATTTGTACCCATGAACAATTACACTGGCAAATATACCAAATCATATCCCAGCAAGTTCCTCACCTGAATGAAATAAAGGAGGAACTCATAACACTGGGTTAGGTGGCACTCCAACCTGACCTGTCAGCAGATGGTTTGAGGGCTGACTCTCTTTACATTGGTAACCCTCTCTGCCCTGCCTTGAACAAGGCCTCTTTGAACTGCGAGGTTGCTTTAACCCTTTCAGTCACCCATGACCTTTCTAGTACAGTGTACTGTGTGATCTGAAGTTAAGGTTAGTAACAAAAGATTGGAAAAAAGAACCTGTCATTCCAGTGGCCTAGATTATCAAGTGACCTCAGTAGTACTCGGCTGATTAATGACAAAGAAATTGAAATCACTTATGATTTATTGTTATTCAATGGATTCTGGCATTGTGGAAAGACACAAACATGTCCATCTATATTTCTAACATGGCTCATTCACAGCAAAATACTCTCACATCAATTATTCTTGTGTACATTAACAGTGCTTGTCCAAAGCTTGATCTCATTTCATGCTCTTTATCTCAAATACTGCAGATACTTGATTCATTTTTCCCGTAACATTGCCCAACTTTGGCTAAGCACCTGCTTGCTGCCTTTCAACAAATTTAAAATTTTTTCCTTTATCACTTAGATGAGGCACATTAGCTTTTACCTTGCTTTCAGGACACAGTTTGCTTTTGGGGGAGGGAAATGTTCACAAAATGAAGAGAAGGGAAACACTGAGCAGATCACAGTGATTTAAACACAACTGATAAGAACACAAGACTGACTGGGAGCTCCTCCATATCAGTCAAGCTGCTTAATGCTTACACAGGAATCTAGAATTTTTGTTTTTGGAATATCTTGTGTGTGTGTGTGTGTGTGTGTGTGTGTGTGTGTGTGTGTGTGTGTGTGTGTGTGTGTGTGTGTGCCAATCCTAGAGTTTGAACTTGGCCTGGACATTGTCCCTTAGCTTTTGTGCTTGGAGCTACCACTCTACCACTTGAGCCACAACCCCACCTCTGGCTTTTGGGTGGTTCCTTGGAGATAAGAGTCTCACAGATTTTCTTGCCCTGCCTGGTTTGAACAGCAATCTTTAGATCTCTGCCTGCTGAGTAGTTAGGATTACAGGTGTGAGCCACCTGTAATTTCTTTTGATTTTTTTTATTGTGAGACTACCGTACAGAGGAGTTACAATTACATGGGCAAGATAATAAGTACATTTCTTATCATTGTTGCCCCTTTGTTTCCCTTCACATCCCTTCCCATACTCCCCCACCTCCCTCCACCCGATTTTTTTGATTTTTTAAAGTTTACAATTATTTTTGACCATTCCTGATCAAGACTGTATAATAAAATCTATGAATAAGGTGGGATTATAGTCGATCTTTTGAATGACCTGATTATATATGGATCAGAAGATTCTACATGTCCCAGAAATTGGTGGGGCCAGATATCTGATGGAAAAAAAGTACATATTGTCTGTTTTGCAGCTACCCACTTTGCAAAATTCCTTATTTCCTGGTTCTCAGGTATCCTCAGTATCTAACTGTAGGAAGAAACCACAGCTTTTTTGCCTGAGGCCCATACTCTCAGCATGAGTTGGTGAGTTTCTTGAATGTCTAAAAGCAATTCCATAGGCCCCCGTGTGGGTCCTGTGTTCTAGCTCTGAGCTTATCTGACTAAAGTAGAACAAATAGGGTTTTTGTCCTTGTTGTTGTTCATTAGGTAGTACATACCACCTTGGCTAATTAGGAAGGGCAGAGGAGAGGAGGGCTTATTAACAATGAAGTTCATCCATTAATCCAGCACTCTATAAGTGGCAGGCTCAGTGCTGGGCTTACAAATGGTTGGCATTAAATCTAAAGTGATTTTCTTTAGAGAGAGAGATGGGCAGTAAACATGAAGACAAATACAGGCGTCATTGCAAGTGGAGAAAGTGCTGGAAAGAGCAAAAGGTCAAGGCTGTGTGGAAGGACCACAAAGAGGGAGTAGCACCCGAAGTCTGTCTGTAGAGGAAAACTAGTGGAGTGACGTCAGCAAAACTCTGAGCCATGATAAAGGCCCTGTGGCAGGAAAGAACATCACATGGTATAGACACCACCGAGAGGCCAGTGTGGCTGGAGTCAACAACCTGCGAGGGAAGGCAGCTGAGAGGAAGAGCCGATGTCTACGGAGGTGAGACCACACAGAACCATGGCCAGAAGCTTGGGTTTCATTTCCGGTGCCACTGCAGGGCTGCAGTGTGGCCATATTTACCCTTGCAAGCGCTCACTCAGGCAGCAGCTGGAGAAGCCACGGGGAGGGAAGAGCAGGAAGGCCACTTTGAAGATTACTCCTTCATTCAGGCCAGAGGTGGCCTGTGCCAGAGTAGGGAGGGGCAGTGGAAGGGAAGGGAAGGGAAGGAGAGAGATACGGAATAAACGCCGTAGAAATTCTAAGTGGATCGATGTGAGAGGGAAGTGGAAGCCCAGACCCCAGCTGACTTCCAAGTCCTGACTTGAGCTCCAGGGATGGTGTGGAAGAGGAGGAAAGCTAGGGAAGATGGAGTGGCCCTGGGAAATCAAGAGTTCTGTTTGGGTCCGGTTAGGCTTGGGCTGCCTGGCAGAGAGATATCTGTGGAGCCAAGATGGGGACCTTGGCTGAACATATAAAAAATCATAATTAATCCATGTAATGCTATTTATGGAGTACCTACTCCATGCACTTACCATTGTAAGAGCTTTTGTGTATGTCAACAATCTTCAGAAGCAATCCGATAAGGTAAAGGTTGTGGATCAGCCTCATCTTACATACAGAAGGAGAAACTGAGGTATATATAGGCTACATGACTTCAAAGGCCATTCTCTTCATGAGAAGATTATATCCAAATGTGGAAATCATCAACATAAATGTGGCATTTAAACCCAGGGAATAGCAGAGCTACAGTCGTAAATGAGACAGGGAGCCACACTGTCCTCCTGACTACCGGTGGTGCCTGCAACTCTGTGATATCAGTCCTCCTACGCCTGTGTTGCAGCCCTTTGAGATGTCCCCTCCCCTAGATTCCAGCCAATCAGTGTCTGGCCTGGGATATCAACAGACTGTGTTCTCTCCCACAGACCAAGGTTTCATCTCAATGGGGCTTTGGGGCTTGAACTCAGAGCCTCATGCTCTCCCTTGGCTTTTCTCCTCAACGCCAATCCTCTTACCATTTATGTCATACCTCCACTTCCCTACTTTTTGCTAATTAGTTGAAGATCGGAGTCTCATAGACTTTTCTGCCCGGGCTGGCTACGAACTGTGATCCTCCTATCTCAGCCTCCTGAGTAACTAGGATTACAGGCGTGAGCCACAAGCATCTGGCAATGTTCTGCTTTCCAGCCAAAGAGCCACAGTGCAAGGCTACATGGCCATCACTCAGAAAGGGAGGAAGGATGTGAGCTGTGACTTCATTCAGTACATGTAGCAGATAAGATGCCCAGAAACAAATATCCAAGGTTGACTAAATATGCGTGTAAAGCTGAAGAAGTCACAAGCACAACTCAGAGACGCAAACCGGCTCGTGTGCCCTGGGAAGGTCAAGAGTGGGCTAGGGCAAGCTGTGTTGCCCAAATGCACTTGGCTATGGAATCCTTCTTCAGAGGCATTCGCTAATATAGCCTGGATGCCAGACTTCAAGAGTCTGGTTTTGAGGAATGCTGACCAAGACAAGAGGAGGAAATGGAAACTCCTAAAGGAACCTGACCAGTACTGGTAAAAGATCCCATCACTATCTGGTGATAGCAACTCCATCTCCCTTTCCCTCCCCAGGCTCTGCATCTAGAACTTGTCCCTCACATCACTACTGGACATGGCACCTGTCCAACCTGTTCAGGAAGACTCCTTAGAATGCTTGTGGTCCCCAGAGATGTCCAGTTTTTGAGAGGTTGCCTGCTCTAATCAGGTGCAGTGGTTTCCTCTTGTTCAGGTTCTCGGAGGCTTTTCTTGGTTACCTGTGATTTGAAGAAATCCTGAATGCCATGGAGAGATTCCCAGGTTCTTTCTAGGTCTGCTGCAGAGTGGAGATAAAGCTCTGGGGCTTTTAGACATACACAAAGCAGGATGAATTGGAAATGAAAG